TTTCTACGAAGTTTTCATATCATGGTTTATGTATCTTCTCGAATAGAGTTGGGTGAATAGTAGGTTTATTATCGATAGTGTACAGGAGTATATGGCAAAAATTTATTGCAATCATTTACAACGTGTTTGTATTCGTTGTTGGTGATGCTACTGCGTCTGAATGGTAACTTTTATGAATGTATTCATGGACTGTAAATTACGCGATACCATTCGTGATACGTATTGTAATCAGTCTTCATAATTTACTTGGAATCAGTAAATTGTAATCAGTCTTCAAAAATTTTTTTGGTTCTGTAATATCACAGCTGATTTTGTTGTCATTTGCTCATTTTGCACAAATTGCGATCGATCTCATATCCAGTTATGAGTTGTTTTGCAAGCATGATTTTATGACGATGGGTTTATTTGTATCTATCCATCTCATTTGAAAAGGGTCAACAAAGCGATAATCGTTTAAATTGAAATCTTTGAAAGTGTTCATTTCAGTTCGGAGGTTTTGTGCTAGAAAATTCTTTGGATCAGTACAGTTTTTCATCGTTATTAGTGTTTTGTTGAGGTGAGAAGTGGACATTTTTTTAACAGGAAATTATTCAATCTAACAAATATCAAGTTGTCATTCAGTATTCGTTCCGTCGTATTCGCGAGAGTTGGTCTTATCAGACACTGAACTAACCCTTTATGAGGGCTTTTTTTTTTGAGGTGGATGGTCTTTAGTGGGAAATCTTAATATTGGTAATATCAGCTCTAAATCGTTTATCTCTAAAATAGATTGGATACAGTTAATTTGTTGAAGCCATAAGCAAGAACATATTTGAAGCATTTCCGATTTTGCAGAGTGATCATATTTGTATGGCGTTGTGATATAGTGTTATCGAGGTAGTCATATCACGTCTTATAATGTAATAATACACCAATTTGTTGTTATTGTTGCTGCTATTGATCATTAAATCGACTAGATGTTTTGAAATGGAATAAAGAATTATCGGTTATTCATCAAAATAAACACTCATGATTCTATTGCGTTTATTTGAGTCACACTGATTAATCAAACTCGCACTCAACGGTTAATAAAAACCGTAAGTAATCGTATCTATTGATTGCTTCACTTCAAATTCTTTGTTGTAACTAACGAACGCAGGAATGAATTTCCTGTTTGCAGAGCGGCATGAAAGTGCGTTTAGGGTGTTTTTGAAAGGTTCAATTCGCTGAAGTTATCGTATTTGTGTAAATAGTTGAATCAAAATTTCTTGCTATGTTATGACGAGAATGGTTTTTAGGTAAATATTTTAGCAGCCACAGCAGCAGCACTTAATTAAGACAAAAAGGATGTCTTCGGATAACAGTTTCAATAATGGTTCAGCCCAAGGCAACGATATCCATCTGGTGGAAAATGCGGAGGAAGTCACCGAGGATCAAAACGGAGTTGCCGCAAGTGAAAAGAATTCATCGTCGACGTCAAATCGTGGCTCGCCTCTAAAATCCGCACTCAAACACGATGAGCCTGGTAGCCCGTCGCATCATCCTGACCCAGAACATCACGTCAAATTGGATTTAGACGGGAGCGATCTGACCGAAGAGGATATCTTTCGGATGAAAATTCTTAGTGCGTCTCGTAGAGGTGGTTTGTTGTTGTAGATTCACAATCAGTTTGATTTGATATTGTATTCACCAAAATGAACTTCGGATTGCCCCTTTCACCAAAAGTTTCAAATTTTCTGTATCTGATCTCTTTTTATAACAGTTGAAGCTGAGAATGGGTTGAGTGAATGCAATGAAGTGATGATATGTGGGGGATATCAGAGCCAATAGGAATAGTTTTTTTTTGGTAATTGAATCATGATAAAATCCATTCAACAAAAAGTAATTCTTGAAATTATATGAAGAACCTGTTTAGGATTCTGAGAAGGATTTCGTTTCAAAATCGCTTTCATTTAAGGAACGTTGAGTGAAATGGCCGAGCAGTCAGTAATGTC